AAAGGGGGGCGTGGCTCCTCCCATATAAATCGAATTTTTATACTGCATATCTCTAAAACTATTCATGGTACAGTACTGGAACTTCGTATGGAGATATGTATATAGTTGAAATCAAGCCCATACTCATGGAGAAAATTTGGGCTATTTGAAAGGGGTGTGAGGCCTACAAACCTACCGACCTTTAGCTATCTTCGAATGATTTTTTTTATTCTTCTGTAGGTGTGTTTGTGAGTGAAATCCTCCTAAATGGTTGTACGGATTTTAACGAAACTTTTTGTGTATTTGAGTGGGTCTCTGGATGGTTTCGTTTCACAATTTAATCCGACAGTTGGCGCTGTGGTTGAGTTATTACTAAAAATCTTATTTATGATCCGATTTGGCTAATGTTTTAAATATGTATGCAATACTATTGCAAAAACGTGCTGCCAAGTGGTGCTGAAGTCGAACTATTACTAAAAATAGCCAAGTGAGAAAAGGGGCCGTGAAGGTCAGATTAAATCGACCTTTTGCACCATTGAGTATATCGACGGTCCTGCGTTGCAATTGGCCCAATGGATGTGATTTTCCAATATTATTATGCGTTCAAACTTTTAAGGTACAGAACAATGATTCGCACCCATTTTGATTTGGCACCTACTATACTGTAAAGCTTCTAGGACATTCACTATAGAACCGGGTCATTGTTGCCGCCAGGGAGTGAAGAGGAAAAAATTTATTTCGCTTTGCGAATAACCGTGCTATGAAATGCCGCACAACTGGAGAATTTCAAGAACGGATATAACACTTTCCTTAGGTTATTTAAAGCGGCAAATGACCACCAAACCTTAATCTTAGCAGACAAATGTGCCAATGAAAATCGTAAACGTGAATTGTTGGTGAAAATGTTGGACCAAAAAGTTTCAATAAAATATATAAAAATTTTGGGCGGGACGAAGTTCGCCGGGTCTGCTAGTTTATTAATAATTCCGCCCCTCCCCCTCCGCCACCCACCACAAAATCGTTGTACAAATAACTAAACATTTCCCTTTTTGTTAGATTTCTTTGATTTTTGAAAACATTGTGATTCATCAAATAATTTGAATTCACAGGAAAATCAGCAAAAATTCAATGACTTCTTGGATCACGCTGCGCAAAGCATATCTATGACTTGCGCTGAATTTTGTAACCAAACTAAAGAACTAGACTCCACTTCCCTCCATTTTCAAAGTTTAGCCAACAAAATAAAGGAGTCCGGCTTGTCCATGAATGCTGTAAACGACATTGAGGCGAAAGTGTCTGCTCTGGTTTTTGCGGAGATGCAGAACTATTCATCAACTGAATTTTAAAAATTTGTTTTGCAACGTTTTACCTAACGCATTCCAATAAAAGTACAATCATATCATATCGCACACGATCTTCAAAGGGGACGCAGCTCAAAATAACACGTTTGCCAGAAACTGCGAAAAACGACTTTAGACTTTACCAAAGGGTCTTTTCAACAAATTATAACAAGAATTTGCTCCAGCTTTTGCTCAAAGGTAAATAAAAGCTCTGCGTACATTTTTAGCGCATAATTTCAAAAATTCCAAATTGTGAATTGTGTCACTTTTGAAAATCGTGTGCGATATGTATTAAAAAGATCTCAAAATGGTTGTACTCGGTAATTTAAATTAAAATATTTATGTATACCCTTGTCTCCGGCTAATTAGTTACGTTTTGACCACATTTGGCAATATTACTTTCGTTTATTTAATGTTTTTTTTATAAAAATCCAGAGCTTATATCGAGGTGTCGATATATTTAAAAAGCGTCATTCAAATCCAAACTTCCAACTTTGTAAACAAATTTAAAAACTCAACAAACTTTGCTAATTTTCCCAAAAATTTCAAACTTATTTAAAATTTTGAGAAAAATTTTAGGTACGCAGTTTTATAGCCCATTCCATTATTTAGTATAAGGTGCAATTTCAAGACGCTGAAAAATCGTGTTGATTTTTAATATTTTTTTTTGCTGACGGTGGTGGGCATTTTCTTCCATATAAAAGAAATTTCGTCAGCAAAAAAAAAATCATTAAAAATCAACGAGATTTTCCAGCATCTTGAAATTGCACCTTATACTAAAAAAAGAAATGGGCTATAAAACTGCATACCTAAAATATTCTCAAAATTTTAAATAAGTTTGAAATTTTTGGGAAAATTAGCAAAGTTTGTTGAGTTTTTAAATTTTTAAGACATTGAACAACCGGCCCTAAATAAACGAAAGAAATATTGCCAAAACTGGTCAAAAAGTAACTAACTCAATTAGCTGACAAGTGTAAGTACAATTATATATGTTAAAAACATCTCAAAATGGTTGTAGAACAACTAATTAATGTAGGTATAAGTACCTGAAAATTAAAAAAAAAAAGTCTTTTGACAGTTTCAATTAAAGTACAAACTATTACTTCTCTGGATAAGATTATTAATTAAAAATATTAATACTTTTACTTACTTAATTCCAATAAGTATAAAAATATGAGTATAAATTATATATGTTAAAAACATCTCAAAATGGTTGTAGAACACTTATTAATTTATGTATAAGTACCTGGAAACTAAAAAAAGTCTTTTGCCAGTTCCAGTTAAAGTACAAACATATTCCTAATTTATTTATAAAAAAAAATCTTAATTTATGAAATATTAATAAAATGCTTTTTTACAGTTGAAATATGTACCTACATTTTTATTTATAAGTATTTAAATACACATTTTTACATATACATATGCACATATCAGTAGTATTAGGTACAAAACTATGCAGGCCTTTTCTGCTGACCAAATTAGTCGGAATTGAAATGCCAAAAAGTCCTGTTTAATTTTATTTAAATATTTTCATGTTTTTTTCCTTGAAATACAAATATCGTTACTTTAATTCACAATGGCCCTAATCAACATTTTTTTTTAATTTAAAAATAGTATAAAAAGAATATCAAAAACCGGTAGGGCTTTCTAAAAAGTGGCATGTAACTCCGTTGTTTTTGGTGCTAACACTTTAAAATTTTAATTGAGTGTATTTTAATAACTATATCCTACCAAAATCTGTGAAAAACGCAGTTTCGTAAAAAGTGTTGGTTAGGGTCTTTGTGAATTAAGGTAACGATATTCTGATTTCGAAAAGATGATAGTTTTTACAAAATCATCCTTTTACAATTCAAAAGCTACTTTTACAGTACAAAAGTTATACCCTCACGGAAAAAAGTATTTTCACAGAGAATTTGTAATAATGTATGCAAAAAATTCTATTTTAATTGTTTTCGTTGATGTTTTATAAAAATATGCAACAAAAAACATTAAAGCTGTAATTTCTTTTTTATAATTTTTTCGAGCACGCATTTTTGTAGCCCATCCAATTTTAATATAAAGTGCAAGTTTGAAGTTTTTAAAATATCGCGTTGATTTTTGGCAATTTCTTTACACATTTTCTTCAATACAAAAAACATTTCCGAATGTGTAAAAAAATTGCCATAAATCAACGCGATAGTTTAAAAACTTCAAAGTTAAACCTTTTATTAAAATTGGATGGGATACAAAAATGCGTGCTCGAAAAAATTATAAAAAATTTTATAAAACATCAACGAAAACAATTAAAATAGAATTTTTTGGATACATTATTACAAATTCTCTTTGAAAATACATTTTTCCGTGAGTGTATGTAATGACCCAAATAATCGTTCGCAAAACTATATTATACAGTACTCGAAAAGATTTTAGAGTTAAAATTGTTTGCAATTTTTCATAAAATTAAGCTAAATTAAGGCGATTGGCCACCTCTCAGTTGAAAAGGTTGGCCACATTCCTCAATTGTGGCAAAATATACTTTGAATATATGAGCAAACTATTAAGCTACATGATACACCATATTTATCAAAGGTTCAAACTTTATACAAAATTTAGAAAGCTACATCTTTTTAATTTCCAAGCTAAAAAAACTGTAACCCCAAAAGCTCTGGAAACTCGTTTAAAAAGTTAGAAATTTCAATAGAATTATGTAGTTTTTCTAAATTTTGTATAAAATTTGAACCTTTGATAAATAAGGTGTATCATGTTATGAGCTTAATTTTATGAAAAATTGCAAACAATTTTAACTCTAAAATCTTTGCGAGTTTTGTATAATATGGTTTTGCGAACGATTATTTGAGTCACTATATATAATATAGGCTAAAAAGCTTAGGTATGTGTGAGATAAACAAACTATAATGTTTTAAAAACTTGTTCGTATGAATTCTTTAAGAATATTTCGTAATTCAAAGGCATATGAAGAAGAACGGTTTACTGCTCCCTGACGACAAGAATCTAATGGATTCACTTCATTTCTGGAAAAGGTCGCATTAAATTGGCCTTAAGTGGAAATGCGCTATCACCAACAAAGTAATATGGAAAACTGCACGATGTTCCCGGCAAATTAACTTGACGAGGCACTTCTAAAGTTCCGTTTAACAATTTCTTTCCGAAAGCACTTTGCGCGAGCACGCCGCCATCACTCTGACTTCCCAAAGCCCCGACATCTACGTAAGTAAAAACATAATTTGCATCGCATGCCGCCAGCAGTACAATGCTATAAGTCTTCTTATAGTTGTAATATAAGGAGCCACTGTTTGATGGACGGACAATATTTATATGTTTTCCATCAATTGCTCCTAAACAATTCGGCATTCCAGTTTTTACAAAAAAATTTTCAGCTATTAATACTTGTTCCGATCGGTTTGGAGTAGATAGATATATATCATGAAGCTCATTCCAAATAGCGTCGCATGTTTCGTAAATAACTTGTTTTACAGTAGATACACCC